TCTCTCCCCTGGCTGTCTCAGCAGACTCAGGCTAATAGGTAATCATGTGTGCACAGCTAAATAAATATGCCAAAATGGAATAAAAGGGCCGCCATTCACACCCTTCGTGATCTACCAGCATCAGCTTTGAGAGCTACTGGTAGATCACGATCTACCTAATGGGCACCCCTGTATTAAATAAACAGTTTAGAACAATGAAACATTTTACAGTTTAGTGTACACAACTTGCTTATAATACTTGTGACTATGAGACGCTCCTCTTGGTGAGATGCCAGCCGCCATCTTAAGATATTTTAATGGGAGTCAATGGAGGAGAATTGACCATTTTAGGTGGTTTTCGGTCTTATCTAAACTAGACACCTGATATATGGTTTATGTAACAGACTTATCTAATGCTATTCTGTGATTGGATGTATTTTAAATCCTTAATATGATTGGATATTTGGTTACTTGACCAATGATGTGCAAGTACAATCTTTATCTTGATGTGTGAATCTATAAAAACTCTATACGATCAATTGACGTTGGGGGTATCTCAAGTGTAAGCAGAGTCCCCACACGTGTTAAATAAATTCTTATATGATTTGGAGCTACTCACAGACCGTTGCTGTTTGGCTTCTTTATATTCCCTATTGAGTAGTGAGCGCTAGTAATGAGGTTATTAGGAGAAGGATAGAACTTAATGGAAATTCAATATAGAAATACAGATTTACTTGTTGTGACCATAGGCACCCTTTGAGTGCCGTGAAAAACTTCCACTCTTTAAACAGAGTTAAATATATCCGCTGTTGTGGAATCTATATACCTACAGTATTGATGGGCTATAGTCAAAATTGATTAATGTGATATTGTTCATGCTACATTCCATCGGATTTAATACCATCTACAATAACCTTTGTATGATATAGATAAATATAAACCATGCTATTGAGTCCCTTCTATAAAAAAAAAGGGGCACGGGCTGTCTTATAGGAGTCTGCAAAGACTGGTTCATGGTGGATGGATGATGTACTGCTAAGGCTGTGTTCCATTTAATCGACTGAATTACATCTACAACAAACTTTATATGATACAGACAACTATAAACCATACTGCTGGCAGACTCTTCTTAGAAGGATGGGGGGGAGGCCACCTTATAGGAGCTCGCAAATTAGAATGAAATAATTCTATCCTGTTTGTCCTTTGAATATTTGATGCAGAATTCTGCTTGATATTATACAAACTTATCAAAAGAATACTGTATATACTGTACATATATGCAATAAGTGTGCTTATCTGTGAAGAAACTCTATTGGGTACAAAACAGCAGATGTAAATATTTTAGCTGTACGGTCTCTGAGGTCATACAGTATTGCTGGCCAACAATTAACGTGCTGTGTCCTGTAATGCACAATCGAGAAATCTTACAATCTTCTAGATAAATTTGGACAGAGGTCTGTCTCTATAAGATGGCAAGTTACAGCCCAAGCTATAATTTCCTTTAGGTTCCCCAATTACTATGTAGTGCAAGAGCCTACCTGGTGAGGTTACTGTTTTCCACAGCAAGAGTTAAAATCCCCGGTGCTACATTCCTTCTGGAGGGAAGTCACAGACGTCATTCACAAAACCACAGATGTTCACTTGGACATTCATCCAGCCACATGTCTTCTCCATCCTAACAACTTTTCACAGAAAAATTATACACCTTTTAGACACTGCCTGGGCATGTCCCAGCTTTGTGGAAACAATCCAACTCTAACGTGGAGTTGTGGTTTTAGAGGACAAACAAGACTATTATGATGGAGGATGCAGAGTAGTATTAAAGGAGAATTATGAGGCGAGTGAAAATCACTCAGCCGCAAAGTTCTAGCCGACCTGTGACAATGAAACTGTCACAGGTCGGCTCAATAGATCGGTAAGGGAGTGAACACATAGCGTCGCTCGCTCACTTCTCGATCCTGTCCCTGCAAAGCTGTGACTGTCACTCACGGCGCCCTGAAGGGATTCCCCCCCTCCAGCGCTGACTGGCGGAACAGACTGGGAGGTGGCGGGTACAGCTGGCTCTGCCTCTAGATAGGCAGAGCCAGCTGTCACTCGCGCAGCTGGGCGGATCCAGACATCGATGTCGAGATCCGTTCCGGCTGCGGCGTCTCAGTATACCGCCAGCTGTAGCTCGCGGTATACTGAGTTTTGGGAGACGGGAGGTTTGTGTCCCCCGTTACCCTTAGGAGAACTATGGGGAAAAGCCCTGACACCATAGTTCTCCTTTAAAGACGCGCCTTTTTTAAAAAAAATAATAAATGTAGATCAAATGTGTGGATTGATGATAACTATCATTTCTGAAAGTATAAGATGTTAGAGGTAGAGATAAAAGGTTTGTGTTGTCCTCCTTGTGCTTAAAGTTAAAGTGACACTAAACTCAGGAGTTATATCTGAAAAATACATTAAAGTTCCTTAACTATTAATAAAAATGTATCTTATTTGTGTATCACTCGGCTGTAGATCCTCAAATCCTCTGAGTTGGTGCCGACACTGTCCTTCCTTCTGGAGGGTGGCTACTTTTGTTCCCCATGGTCCCTGTGTGTGTTGTAAAGTAGTCACCGCTCCAAGCTCGCTCCCGTATTGGACTACAATCTCACATTTAATTTACTAATTTGTATTGAGATCGTAGCCCATTACAGGAGTATGCTGAGAGCGGTGGTGCCTTTCACCAATTCAGAGATGATTTAAGGATCTGCAGCCGAGTGATACACAAATAAGATACATTATTGATAATAGGTAATGTACTTGAATGCACTTTTAACATTTCAGTCCTGAGTATATATAGTGTCACTTTAACAGCATACCTATGTGTATGTGGCAGCTCTGGCACTTTTTAACGTTACACAAAAATATAGTGTCACCAATTCCCTTTTTTTTTTAAATAAAAGGGAGTCTAAATATACAATAAGTGTTTTGTGAAAGTGATTTTAATACAAAACATACATATTTAACAAATATAACAATTATATTAACAACAGTTGGATAATTCCCATGATGTATAAAATAAATAAGTATTAAAAAGATTCTGTAAACAGATGCCAGAGGCACAATTCTTAGGCCAGCAGATTATTGCTGTATTGCTCTCTCCTAACAACATGCCCATCTCAGCACAGCTGATTTCAGAGTTGGCCTGGGACCTACAAACAGCCCTTTGTTCTGGAGGGGCTCTAAAAAGGAGCACTCCTTCCTCTTTTCTAGAGAACTTCTTTAAAAATGTCATATCATCAAAACCCACATAACTTGTTCCATGTGGTTGCATAGTACACTCTGAGGCATTCACTATATTGGCTCCATTCCCTTAAATAATGTTGTGACCAAATGCACATTACTAATATACACACACTTAAACATTAAATAAACATTAACATATAAAATATTATTGGGCCTCGTTGTACCATCCACATCAAATCGATATAAGTTTATAATGAATAATTTCAACTATGCAAATTGAAAATTCCAGTTAAATAAATATTTCAGGTAAAATATGCTCTTCATATAAATCTCTGCATTATTATTATTAAATAAACATCATTACATTGATGGTACCATGTTTAAATTAGAATAGATAATGAGGAACATGTAAATAAATAAGTCTACGATCGTGGTTGTGCAATGATCTGGCAGAAACAATTCAGAGACCATAACAGGAAGTCAGACATTTTACTGCATCATCACTCAAAGAATATCTATCCTGCACTGGATAACTCAGATATTTAGTTCCTTGAACGGGGGTTTGAAAGCATAACACCACTTGTCTGATAAGCAGATGCTGAAAGGCATATGGAAAAAGTAATCTTTATAAATAGTATTCTTTTTTGGTCAATATTGCCTGTAGGAGCATTTAAGAATCCATTCTGTTTAAAACAAAAAGATAAAAAGTTTACTCATTGCCATGGTGGTATGGTTCCTCCTACAGCAGACAATGAAATGTTCACATGGATACAGTATGCCATGTACCAATTACCCGAGAGTAACAAACAACATTGCTACATTTTTTACAGAGTACAATGAATGCTTCAGAAACCTGTACAAAACAAGGGAAGAAGAAAAAGAATATTTCATGTAACCCTGTCATCACAGGGTCACTTTTAGCCAAAAGGTAATCTGTAATGAGAAGCGTTTCTATACTTACCTTTCCAGCAGCCTGTGTATTGGAAAGCTGCCGCTTCTGTGCTCCTCGACTCATCTGTAGGTCCAAAACTGCCGCTTCTCTGCTCCTCAGCCAATGCAAGTATTTTACACTTCCAGTGCTGTACAGTACTTGCTCCCCCCTCTGGTCGCTATGGTGCCGTTCACTGGCTCGTTCATTGTATAATAACGTATGATCCGGCAGGGGGGGAACCACAAGGGCAGCATGTATTCAACTCATCTGTAGGTCCAATACTTGCGGGGAGCAAAGATGCAGAGGCTTTTCAATACACCGGCTGCCAGAAAGGTAAGGATATGAATGCTTCCATTACAGGTGACCTCTTGGCTAAAAGTAACCCTGTAGTGACTGCGTCACTGTAAGATGTTAACTACTCTTCTACACTATATAAGGAAGCGTGGCCTTGATAGATTTTTGGGCCTCATTCAATATAAATTCCTAAAGCTCAATCAGCCAGTTTTTTTTCTAAGTTTGGGTAGCATGAAGAATGGATAGACATGATATACTTCCACACTGGCTAAAACAGGGTGCTCCATCAATTCCCCATGGTTGCGGTATTTATGGCAGTCAAGACTTTTCATTTTGCTTACCAGAAGAATTGTCACAGAGATGAGAAAACAAATTTACCAATGTGTCTTACAGAATAATGGGGTACGTGGTTCACACCAGTCAACCAAAACATCACCTTTATCTCAAAGCTGGAAACATAAAAGGGACAAAAAGGGACAATATGGCTAAGGGGCACCACAAACCAATATTCTTTCAGAAACTTTTTGAATCAGACCTAATGTATAAAAGCCAGGAGAAATAAATCACAGTGGATAACATGTCACTGCCGAATACCATAAAGCATTTCACAATTAACATAATAATATCTAAGTATTGTTGTCTACATGATCATTGTATCCTGAAAATCTCAATTCATGCAACCTTAGAAATTATTTAAAAAATCTTTCAATGGTATTGCTGGAGCGGTTGATCTTGGCTTTCTTGGAAGCAGGATTCTGTTGGGTTGTACCTGGTCTGTAATATCAAAAGAAAAGAAAATGTAAGTAAACTGTAACCCAAAGTGCAAGTCCAGTAAACACTTTCCAGCTGAATATGGTAAACTGAGTGTGCTATAACAATCTCATTCACATACGCTGGTTTCAAGTCCCACTGCCTGAACATCCTTGTGGCTTCGCTGCCTTTACTAACAGGCCTAGTCACGACGATTCCTAACCACCTCTAGCACAAGTCTACACTGTCTGAATACTATCTGTATGACTAAAGGGTAGGTGCAAATTTATTAGAAAACACAGCAACATGGTACCACATGAACTGCAGCATCAATATGGGTAATGCAATGGTATACCTCATATAAAGCAAAGGTTGTGTTTTCACTGTCCAGGTTGAAGCATCCGTCCTTCTGTCAGTGCAGCATTTCTCTTTTATAGCCCAATGCATTCAGGGTGAGAATGGGTACCAGCCATTATGGTTTATGGCATTCTGCACAGCATTGGATGATGGGGACTCATGATTCTCTTTAGCTTGTCCTCACTCATGTACGCACCATACTGGGATACCAAAGAAGTTAAAATCCTGGTTTCAAACTGGATTACAACTATTGCTGCCCAGGTCAGGGAAGATAATGCTGTGCTTTTAACATTCAGTTCTGGAATGAATGGAGTTTCTCGAACGAAAACCACATTCACTGTTAGAATTTTGTTTGAGAAAAAATTTCCATCCTGCTTCTTTTATAATTTTCCTCACAGTGTTTAAAAATGATTGTCGATTTGACCACATTAACTATCAGAAAATCAAACAACTGTAATTTTTTTAAATAAACCAATTTCTAAATCGAGCTTTAGAGTAGTTTGCACTACACATACAATTATAGCTCTTTGCCCCGCCTTGCAGAATAGGCTGCAGCCTATGGGAACACACACCAGGGTGTATAGAGCAGAAGGCTGACAAGTCCCAAATAGACATTAAATATATATATATATAT